AGCTTCATGCATGCTAGGCAAGCATTCTACCAATTCTTCAACAGTCTCAACCTGTGTGTCTTCAACCCTTAAGTTTCCTTCAGCCATTCTGACCCGAAACCCTCAGCCCACAAGGCTAAGAAGAAATGTATTCTTTTCTCACTCACTGCAAAGGTCTCATTATCCAACATGGCCCTGTGGGGCCCTTCCCATCCAGAAGAACACTCCTCCATCCTTGTCTCTCAGAATCCTACTCTCCTCCCAATTCAGAGTATCCCCTCACAGGAGCCAGAAGCACCCTCTGAGCCAGAGCCGGGCTGCTTCTCTGCCCTGTACCAACTCCTCGGTCCAGGATGTACCATGAGCAGCTGCTCAGTCAGGGGGAAAGAAAGGGAAGCATATTGTGTTGATTACTTTCTTCGTTGTTGGGTTGAAATGCCTGACAGAAGCAAGTCAACAAAACGGGTTTGTTTTAGCTCACAGTTTGGGGGTGCAATCCATGGCATCAAAAAAGACATGGCGACAGGAATTTGAGGTGGCTGGTCATTGCATCTGTGGTCAGGAAACAGAGAGGTGAATGCTGGCACTCAGCTCGCTTTCTCCTTTCTCTGCAGTCTGGAATCCCAGCCATGGGATGGGGTCTCATGGGGTTAGTGAGGGTCTTCCCACCTCCATCAACTCAGTCTAGAAACCCCCTCGGCCATGCTCAATGTTTTAACTCCTAAGTGACTCTAGATCGTGTCTAGTTGACAGCCAGTATTAACCATCACATACACAATTCTAATTCTGCCATGAACTGCTCTGCCTAGCATAGACTTGATTAATGGCCCGGCACTGCATCTCCCCGTGGTAGTTCTGAGAATTCTTGAGGGGTTTTGAGGCTGACTTTGCAAAAAGGGCAATGCCTTGGAAGGCAGTCACACCGTGTCTTTCAGTGCCACCCCCAAGCCCCAGCATGGAACCTGCCATGCAGTGAGCAGGGAAGGCAAACAGATACAAAATGCTGTGTTGTGTAGTTTCATGTCAACTTGACACGGACTAGAGTCATCAGAGAGGAAGGAGTCAATTGAGAAAAATGCCTCCATAAGAATGGGCTATGGACAAGCCTATGAGACATTTTATTTCTTTTGGGGTGGGGGCTCCAGACATGGTTTCTCTGTGTAGCTCTGGCTGTCCTGGAACCTACTCTGTAGACCAGGCTGGCTTTAAACTCAGAGAGACCCACCTGCCTCTGCCTCCCAAGTGATGGATTAAAAGCGGGTGCCACCACTGGCAGATTTGGGCATTTTCTTAATTAGTGATTGGTATGAGAGAGCCCAGACTATTGTGGGTAGTGTCATCCTGGGCTGGCAGGTCCTGGGTTTTACAAAAAAAAGACAGGCTGAGCAAGCCATAAGGAGCAAGCCAGTAAGCAGCACTCCTCTTGGTCTCCGTATCAGCTCCTGCCTCCAGGTTCCTGCCCTGTTTGAGTTCCTGCCTTGACTTCCTTTGATGATGAACTGTGATGTGGAAGCATGAGCCAAATAAACCCTTTCCTGTCCAACATGCTTTCCGTCATGGTGTTTCATCATAGCAATAGTAACCCTAAGTAGGACAAATGCCATTTTCAAAATTCAACCAAGGGGCTAGAGAATGACTCAGCAGTCAAAAGGGCTTACTGCCCTTGTAGAGGATCAGAATTCAGCTACAGCGCCCATATCAGGCTGCTTACAACTGCCTATAGCCCCAGGCTCCAGGGGATCCGATGCTCTCTCCTGGCCTCTGTGAGCTCTTGCACACATGTGTGCATATACTCATACAGACAAATAAAATAAAAATTTTTGGTTCTGGTTTTGTTTCAGTTTGGTTTTTTGTTTGCTTTTTTTTGTTTTTGTTTTTGTTTTTTTCAAGAGAAATTCTCGCTATGTAGAGCAGGTCAGCCTGGTCTCATAGAGATCCACTGCCTCTGCCTCCAGAGTGCTGAGAGTAAAGATGCACAGCTCAGATGAAAAAGGAGAAAAAGAAAAAGAAGCCAGGCAGAAATGATGCACACCTTTGATCCCAGCCCTAGGGAGGCAGAGGCAGGAGGATCTCTGTGAGTTCAAGGCCAGCCTGGTCTACAGAGTGAGTTCCAGGACAGGATGGTTACTTAGAGAAACCTCATCTCAGAGAGAGAGAGAGAGAGAGAGAGAGAGAGAGAAAGGAAGGAAGGAAGGATTCATCAACAAATGCATATAACTTTCTTATTTTAAGATTTATTTACTATGTATACAGTGCTCTGCCTGCATATACATATACATGTATGTCTGCATGCCAGCATGCCAGCATAGGGTACCAGATATCATTATAGATGGTTGTGAGCCACCATGTGGGAATTGAACTCAGGACCCCTGGAAGAGCAGCCAGTGCTCTTAACCTCTGAGCCATCTCTCCAGCCCTACATATAGCTTTCTGTTTGTGCGGAGCAATCAGACTTTAGAAGTGGATAAGGAGGCAGAGCCCAGCGCAGAGGGACATAAGTGATATTTGCGGTGTGTTCTGCAAGTGCCTCAGACCCCTTTGTCACGTACAGCTGAATGTGTGGACAGGCAGAAGAGAGAGGGGGTCTCTCCACCACCTCTTTCCATGAGCCTCAGGCAGGGTGCTCTGTGGGTATGAATGAGTGGGCTCAGCCAGCTCTGTCGGTGGTGGGGAGCCATCAGCCAGAGGCCATGTGCACATACATTGGCTTTCCTTCTCAATGAATCCATCCTTGTTTTCCTGTCTAGGTCCCCCTGGACGGCGTGGCAAGCCTGGACGAAGAGGCGACCCCGGTGAGTTGAGTTTTCTTAATTCCTAAACCTTAGCTGAGAGACACACTGTGAACCCTGGACCCAGCTGGAGTACCAACCATCTGGGCCATCATGCCTGATATTGCCTTATCTTGTCTTCATGGCAATCACAATTCCCAAACTAGCCCCTCTATGTCCTTAGCCTCCCCCTGATTCTATCAGCCTTAGAAACTCAACTCTTCATCACCCATTGTGAAACAGCAGGCAGCTGTCTGCCATGGGACCGTCACAGGGCACAACTCCCCTGTACATCCGGCTTCCTCCCAGGCCCTGCTGAAGGTTTTTACCACCTCCCTCCATGCAAACCCTAGGCTCCCCTGTCCCCAAAAGCCACTCCCCCATTACCTTCATTGCATCCAAATGAACTTGCTCTGCGGAGTCCCTCATAGTTTGCCCTTTCCCCCCAAATCTTGACCACTGTTCCCTAAGAATCATGGACTCCCTCTGCCTCACCTTCTCACACCTATGACATCATCTTGGCCAAAGTTGCTAAAGGCAACATGGCTACAGTAAGACATGTCATTGTCTTTTATCTTCCCTCATCTTCCTTCCTTCTCTACTTTTCCTTCCTCTCTTCCTTAAACTGACACTTAAGTCAGTTTAAATTCTGGTGTACCCACATCCCCTTTGGTCTTCATTTATACTGGTTTGAGAATACAGGACATGTGCTATGTTGGATGTTAATAATCTCGGATCAACTGAATGAGCTTCGGGCAACTATGTACATAAGAGAAACATTCAGAGCTGTGGGTGAGATTGGTGCAAAATCTGTGCATCAGATGACACATTTACTGCCTAGGGACGGTAAAATTCTATTTTTAAGTGTGATAGATTGATTATGGATAGGCAGTTGGAGTTCGTTCTCCCTAGATGTCTGGTGCTACTTCAAGAAAATGCTTCATGGTTATGTGTTCTCTGAGCCAATGATGCCATGAGCATGCATAGATTTGCTGAGGGGACAGAACTGCTTACTCCTCAATATCTTTGTCTTTCTGGACCCTGGGTACTTCTGACTGCCTCCAGCTGGTTTCCACACACACTCTGCATCCACATGGCTGACCTCGACATCTCAGTCTCTTCTGGATCCCACTTGGTTCCTAAGTGATTCTGCCCTCGGCCCTCACTCCTCTTTCCCATAGCATCCCATCCCATTCCTGAGGCCCCAGGACACTAACACTTGCTCGCTCGCATTCTCCTTTCCTCCCTCCCTTGGGCTTTAGAGAGTATACATTCACCCCCTGAACAAAGCATCACACCCTCTCATCTCCTAGGCATCCCCATCACATGGAGATGGCATCTAGCCTCTCATTTCCTGTGCAGGGTCCCTGAGCCTTCACTTTCTCACACCATGTCCCCCTCCAGTTTATCTCATCCCTCTGCTGCCTTCTCTGTCCTCATGGCCACAGCCTCCTACAGCTCTCACAACCCACCCTGTCCCCCACAGGAAGCCTCCCCATGGCTGTCCAGGGCCTTGTGACCTCTGTGACTTCAAGTTCTCCCCCGGCCCAGGAGTGTTTTTCTCTACCTGGGTTCTACTGTATGTTCATTTCTCTTTATCCTCGAAATCAAATTCAGGTGGCTCCTCTAAGACAGCATTCTGTAACCCCGTGGCTGGGGCTGCACCCACCTCCAGTATCCAGCATGTAAATACATGGGCTAGTGAATACACAGTCATCCTTTAAATGGCATCACAGAGAGACCCCCCCAACAAAAGGACCCCAGGCTGTCTAGGCCCAACAAAAGCTAGCACAGGTCCAGTGGATGCTCCACTCTTCTGGGAGCTGGGCCTGTGATTCTTTTCCTTTTACAGAAGCCATCCCATAAGTTCCCAGAATTCCCTTTTCTCTGTTTGCCTGACTCCCAGAAGCTAGAGGGTGTTTGTGTTGAGCTCTGGGAGCTAGCTCCCTTTGCACTGCCTCGTGTGTAGTTCACAGCATGCCCTGACCAACGCTTGCCTCATCTGTCAGTTCTTGTCTTCTTCCCACAAAGGCTCCCTTGTCTTTTACTGTCGACTCACCGACATCCTTTCTGGAAGAAGATGAGAAACCCTGTCACCTTTTTCAGGATAAAATATGACATGCCCCAGGTCACTCAAAAACCCATTACAGGGGCAGGGAGATGGCTCAGTCAATAAAGCCCTTGCAGCTCAAGCATGAGGAACCAAACTTGATCCCCAGCCCACTCATAAAATTCGATGGTGGCCTGCATTTGTAATCCCAGTGCTGAGGAGACGGAGACAAGCAGATAGATCCCTGAAACTGCCTGGCCAGCTTTGCAGAATCAGTGACATTGTAACATGCGCAAACACGCACACGTGTACACACACACACACACACACACACACACACACACACACACAAAAAGCAATGAAAAGCCCCTGTTTCTAAAACACTATGGCTATTGACTGAGAAATGACACCTGAGGCTGACTTCAGCACCCACATGCACCAGCACACATGTGAACACATACACACAAAAACAAGATACAGATCTAAAATGACATTTCTCAAAAGCAGACATGCATATGGCCGGTGGCAGTTGGGTGTGGTCGGCATATAATCCCAGCACTGGGGAGACTGAAGCAGGGTGATCCTAAACTCAAGTGAGTTCCAGGTCAGCCTTTCTCAAAAGATAAAAGAGTGGGGAACAAAAGCAAAAATGTGCAGCCTAGGGAAGTGTTCTCCTCACTAGTCATCAGGTGAATGCAAACCAGAACTGTTGGACGCATCACCTCGCCCCAGAGGAACAGCTGTTACCAAAGGACCTAAGACAGCGTGTGCTGCTGCTGATGTCCACACTTAGTGCAAGTGCCATAGTGGAACCAATATGGAGTGCCCTCAAAGAGTTGTATGACCCAGTTATAGCAGCTTTGGGTATATATATACAGAAGAAACGAAGTCACTGGGGCGGGGCGGGGGGACATCTGCTCATCCCTGTGCATCGTAGCACTTTTCACAGCAGCTGAGAAGCATAGACAACCTAGAGCCCGTGCACACCTGCAGCTCTATACTGGACCCTTCAGAATCCTACATTTCACACAATCCCCGCAGGACTGTGAGATGAGAATATGTTCTTACCCCCATTTTGCAGAATAAGAAAAAAGGCTGCAAGGGAAACACTGTCTTGTCTCAGGTCCACCACTAAGCGAGGCGACGCCTTCCCCTCTGCAGCCCTCATGGGAGGTGTTTCTCTGAGCCAGCGAGAGCCACACAGAGCAGATGTCCCCCTCTGGTTGACTTTGGATGGTCCTGGTGTTTGTTTCTAGATAGTTTCACATACATGCACATCCTGGCATTGTCACCCTCCACTATGCAAAGCAGGCCTTTTCCTGTGCCCCTGGGAGAAAGGCACTTTTGGAGTGCTGGGACAGGATCTAACTGGAATGTTATCCTACCACAAACACCCCCTGCCATCCCTGGGACTGGTTCCTTAGTCTCTCCCAATCAAAGCCTTTCCCTGGACGGCATCCAATCTGCCCTGCAGCATCACAGGTCCATCTGGTCCAAATAGCATGGAGTTCTCACCTACTCCTGCCTAGTTTGCCACTGGGAAACACAGCACAATGTCTGATATAATTGCCTGGGCCAACCTCCTCCCTAGGCAACCCTGTGTGACACCGAATTCCAGAGATGAGATTTTGTACCTGATGTTCCAATTTCAGCAAAAGGCTGAAAACCTCTCTAGAGTGCCATTTAAATAAGAGCATCTTTACTCTGTGGTCCAGTCAGGCCCTGGGGCCATGGGTGCTTCAATGTGAATTATAAAGTGGAAAACTGACAGCTGTTCTTATTTTTCCTGAGGTCTATGTGCATATGTGTGCATGTGTGCAGTATGTGTTATGCACACACTTGCATGTATGTGAAAGAGAACATGTTCTAATTCCAGCCTTTGCTCAGTTTCTCCTGGGCTAGTGCTATTCTAGGCACTTCACATGGATGTGAGTACACACACACACACACACACACACACACACACACACACACACACACACACACACACACACACCATCTTCCTCAGTCCTCCCCAACATCCAGAAAGGCAGACATGGGTATTCACCACATTCACAGATACAAACGCCTATCCCACTCTCCCCCTCATCACACTGTCTCAGAGTTCGCCTCAGCATTATTCCATCTACACACAAACTCATTTAAAAACCCTTGGGTCACTCACTCTCTTCCCTAGAGAGTACTTAGAAACGTAGCAGAAGGTTCCTGAGCTCGTACAGGGAAAGATCTGATTTCTACGGGTGTAAATCCTGGCTGTGGGACCACACTGGAACTAGCTAATATATGAGCAAGGCAGAAAGCCTGTTCAACCAAGGAGTGCAGGAAATGGGCAGACAAATAGCCAAGTCTAAGACAACAGTAACAGTTGTGGAGCTGGGAACCTGGACAGAGACTCTAGCACCCTCAGGCCAAAGGAGAGCCACCACTTCCACCGTGTGGGCCAGGCCCTGCCAGACTAGCAGCAATACTATGCAGGAAGATCAAACATACCTTTGGGAGACATTAGGGAAATGACTGACTTTGGAGGAGCCAAAAAGCTCCAGATGCACAGGGTGGGCTCCCAGATCCACCACCCACCTGTCAGCACCAAACAGGCAGCTCACCCACCCAGGCAGTCAGTCCCTCCTACCCTCACCCCCACGGTGTGGGTGAGCATGGCTCCCAGATTGAGAAGCCCTGGCAGGCCACAGGCACTCTGTAGACAGTCCTGAGACTCACCAAACCCCCTACTTCCTCAGGCCAAGTCATCTGGCTTGCATTTAATTGCTCCCACATTCTGGGGATTAGAGCATATGTGTGAAAGCTGTGTGCCCAAGGGTCAGAGAGCAAAACACATTGTGGAGCCAGGCTCGGGGGGTCACCATGTGGTCCATTGGGGGACCTGAACCAGCATCACTTTCTAAGCAGGGACCCCTGGATGACCTAAACCATGTCCCCTCCCAAGCTATCTCTCTTAAGTTACCCACTTGCTACAGACCGCAGAATCTGCCTCTAGCAGCTGTGCCAAGCCAGTAAACTCCATAACAAAGTCAAGTGCAAAGGACTCAGCAGAGATGCTGGCCCAACAGTCAGCTCCTGCCCTTCTTGCCGTTGACTCTTTCTGCCTATTTATCAGTGTGTGTGCCTGCCAGACCCTAAGCTGGGTGGGCATTAGGGAACCTGTCAGATGTCAGTCAGTCCAGGAGAGGCCAAGGGGAAAGCTGGCCTTAATTGGAGAAGGTCAGTTCCTCCAGTAACCTGAGAGGCATGAATAGGAGAATGGGTCCAGGGGCAGGCACATGGACAGGCAGAGACAGACATGTTCATCTAGTCTTCAGAGGATGGTCAGTGAGTCTTTCCAGTGGCTTTTGTCTTCTCTGGAAGACAGGAAGCAAGGTCAATCACTGTAAGTTCAGAGTCTATGCTGCCTGTGCCCTGTTCAGCCCCAGACTAAGGGAAAACATAGCTTCTACTACCACTGGTGGGAATATTAGAATATCCAGTCAAAAATCTTGACCTTATCTCCTACCTTCCTCTCCCACCACCCATCAGTCAGAAACTCCTGTCTCTCCTCCTTGCCAAACATCTCCAGATTCTCACATCTTCCTAACACCACTGCTGGGATCTGCCAGGGATAGCGGCCATGCTCCCCAGTGTCTACTCCTTTCTTGCAGCCTTCATCCATGTTGATTCTACAGT